CATTCAAGCCGTAGGGATGTTATTAGTAGGGTATGGTTTTCGCCTTATATGAAGATAGTAAAGGCGAAATTAGCCTGGGGTTCAAACACATTTTAGGAATATCCTGCATTACATTACGACACAGGCTGGAGTGCCAACCCAGTCGCGCGCTTTTGTTCACTTTGGAGTTACGTAACTAAGCACAGTAGATGTGGATCCTGATGTAGATCAGGCCCACCGCTCTGATATGCTCGCAGGATGCCGGCGTTGCGTTCTTTGACGTTATTGATCATGTGCTCGATGGCATCAGTAGCGTGCTCTTCCAGGCGCTCTTCGTGGGCGGCGTGTGCCTCATCCCGAATCTCATGCAGACGCTTCAGCCAGTACATCCATCGCCACGGCGTAAACCCAATTGGCGAACGCATTCCTAGCTCAGATTCAACAAACTTTTGACCACCCTGACTAAGCGTGCCCGGGCAGTCGTTCCAGAAAGCGTCCGATAACTGGATGAGGCAGTAGTTGGCCTCTTTGATCCATGCGCAAGCAGCTGGCAGCAAATCCGCAACGGTGAGGCTGCGGATGTCACGAGATAGATCTTCCTCGTCTGGCGTCTCTGGGCTGCAAAGGGCTCGTGTCTCCTCAAATGTGGATCGAAACAGGACGAGAGCGATCTGACAGATCTTGTGGTTGGTCACGCGGGTTGACGCCAGCTTGGCCAAGAAGGAGGCAAAGTTGAGGCGATGAACACCGGACATGGGCGCGCAATTGGTGATCCAGAAATCCGTCATGTCCGCGGCCAGGAAGGGAAGGTCATTCCACAGCGTGCCTTGCACTGTTCGTGCGATATCGATGCCGTAGTTTCCTGACACAGGCCTAGTTAGGGGACCAAGTCCCTGGATGCGGATGATATCCAGGACCAGGCGGTCTTGATCAGCGCTTTCGTGAGACGCCAGCCGACCGAGCTGATAGTAGATGTGCCATATAGAATGCAGGTAGCCTTCAAGAGAATCGACTCCGTCGCCCACAGCACAATACCGGTCACTGATGATCCAAGTTCGGTTGGTAAAGGCTCCGAGGCGAAGCTGCTCGATCTCCCCGCGGGCGATGCATTCACGGACGTTCTGCCGGTCGTGGGTGCTGTCGTCTAACTTTGTGATGTCCGATGGGCCTTTGGGAAACGGGCTTAGCAGTGCATCGCGGAAGGTTTCCATGCTAAAAGGGCTGTAGCGTAACTGAATTCGCCGAACAGATGCAGTAGAGAGTTGGAAAGGACAAGCGAAGAAGGCAGGCAGATATGTAGTCCACGTCGATGTTTGTGTTGTCCTCTCATATAGAGCTAGGAGTACTGACGTGTCAAGTCACAAGAGTCATTTGTGAACCCTCTCCTGTAGATAATGCTACGGCACAGTTGTAGACGCGCAGGGTTTGTGGAGTAAGCTACCCAATGTGACCTTGTAAGTCGCGAGTTGGAGCCGGAATGGTGCCGAAGCTAGCTCAGGCTGGGATGTCTCCTCTTCGTGTGGCAGTGCGCAGCCACTAAATCGCCAATAATTCGTGGGGTAGCTGTTAGAGCGACGGTTTTGTTGGTGGGGTTGTGCAGTTAAGGTTTCGTGCACAATGAGGCCACCGCCATCCAAGCGGAGATCGTCAGGCGCGCCGCCACGGTGGCAGCAACATGCCCAGCTACAGGTGCCACCTGCCTCTCTGCGCCATTCGTAGACGCCGGCACGACACGGCACGGCATGCCAGGGCACAGAGTCGCCCGGCCGGTCACGGTAGCACTGGCATCTTTTCCAAAACTGCGAGCAACTAGGGGCGCAGTTGTTGATCAAGCGCTCTTCTGCAGCTCGCTTGCGCGAGGACTTCATAACTCGCCTAGGATAGGATGCGCAGGCGGTGACGATGCACCAGCGGATTCAGGCGTTGTCCTTCGAGGACTTGGATCGCACCCGCGAGCCCAAACAAAGCAACCCCCATTTTGGTGTGGCGGGAGAGTTTCTGCGGCACAAGGCAATTCAGTGCCCACCGAGCTTCCCTGTTCATACCCCACCTCCACCCATATGCAGCTTGTATTCTCCGTGACCTTCACGGTTGACTGTGTAGCGCGGGGCTCTTCGACGTCGCCTGCGGGCGGGGTTATGCGGATGATGGATCGTTCGAGGGGTAAGTTATCGATGAGCGTGTTCACGGGGGACGATGCACGACCTCGGAGGCGGTACGAGCAAGTGAGAATGGAGTGGATGCTGAGACGATGTTAATAAAGAATGTGCCTAGAGAGAACGAGACGACATACCATGCCATGAGACCGACACAGCGGCATGCAGCGCTCGAGTGTTGTCTGGGCAAGCCATCTGATCCCGAACGCTTTCCACTGCATGCAGAAGACACAGTCTGATCGCTCTCCAACTATCAACCGGGGTCGTCAAGCTCAGCCTGTTCAGCGCAGTGACAAAATGTGTGTATGCCTCTGACCCTGAACATGATCAGGCCGCGTGGTGAGACGCGCCGACTTGCATTGTAAGTCTCATGATACGCGATGCCGTCATTGGGCGCGTTGAACGTCTGCAGTTGCTTTTGGAGGGCTCCTTCAGACTGCGGCAGAGTCCTGCTTGCCGAGGCAGCTCGTGGTTGGTATCGTATTCGCGATACGACGTCGGTTGGCGTGGGATGACTGTCGGGTGCATGGCTGGAGTCATTATGGCGTCTGAGTGGGTGGATAGGTCGCAAGCCCGCTCGAAGGCTGGTATGATGTCGGCGTTGCTCGGGGAATGATTAAGCTCTGATTGTTAGCAGATGGTTGGTGAGTTCGCACGTTAGTTGTTGTCACGTATCAGCAATACGATGGGCCTCTTCGGAGATGTGCGGGCAAGAGTCGGCATTATCAATTTTACGTCAATAATACCTGCACGACAAAGAGCAGCATGCTTCAGGTGCGACGACTTTGCGAATCTGATAATCGATCTGAGATGGATATCTTACATGATGGCGCGCGGCTACCTTGCGGCGGGAACGTCGGAGCTTCGGTGGGCCGATGCCCGATGGCACGTCACGTGCCAGCGGACTGGCATCCATGGATACGGACTCGATCTCGTCAGTCTGTACGAACCAGCCGCGACCTCAGCGACCCCTCTACAACCGCATCGTTGTGTGTCCGAGATTCTCCCAATCGCCGATGAAATGCCAATACTTAATGTCGGTATACACAACCCAGCCCTTGCCAAACTCGCCCAAGGCTTGGATTTTCTCGTCTGCCCAGTATCTCGGTTCCGGGAACATTGCCGGCCACAATTTGATCAGCCAGTCATGCCTCGGCAAGATCCACGAAGGGTATCTGCAGCGGCGGCCCAGCGCGCGGAGAAATCGTAATGGAATCCCTGGTTTAGTCTTGTCCATCCCTTTGATGTTCGAAATCTTGCCATAGTATCGGTCTACGCAGGCAGGCGGGATGCGCGACGGAGCGTACGGCTGCAGGTACATTCGCAAGGTCCAGGGGCATGCCTCCTGCAGTGCTGCAAGAGTAGTGTCTTGTGGCCCCGTTGTCCTACCCATGGCAGCGCTCCATGCTCTGGAGGCGTCGTTGGTCAACGCCTGCAGCAGAGTCCTCTTGCCGACACAGGTATCCGCCAACAGTGCTCTTGCGCTTTTATATGCCGGGTCTCGCGTAAGGACAGAGTGCAGCGTACCGCCTGCCTGCCCATAAAGGTCCGTTCTCAATCTGGGGTCCTCCCAATACGACTCGAAGCGCTCGAAAGCCTCTCGCATGAGCTCCCATACCCGCTGGCCTGTCTCTGCGTCTGGCAGTCCGCGTGCCTGCCACATCCGCGGGTTCCACGAGCGGTTCGCTTCTCTCCAATACTTGCGTACCTGCACCAGCGGAGGAACCCATCGGTCGTCAAGAGGCTCCGGCATACTCAGCAGAGTGTAGGCGTTCTTTGCGATAGGTGCTATCGCGGGCTGTGCAGCAGTCAAATAAGAGTAAAGACCCCAGCCGATGCAGCCGATGCAGCCGACGCCGCCGACCACTGCTGCTGCTGCTGCCACCTTCCGCCCGTGGCGTTTGACCACATTTCTTATCCGTCTTCCCAGCTTATGTCTGCGCCGCTCCTCCGAAGGCCTCGCGCCCGATACACTGCGTGTGGCTTCGTGAATATCTCGAGAGGGTAAGCTTGGCTCGCTTCTCGTGCGGCGGCGGTATTTGGAGGATGGCCGAGCAGCTGGAGCATCTGCGCGGTGTACGATGCTGTCCAAGCAGAAGCGCTCCACTGGAATGGAGAAGTCAGTACTCGTTCGATCCGAGATTAGACGTGGGTATGGAGCCAGACGCACCGTTGCTGAGCCTCATGAATCGTCGCGTTTCGCTCATCACCTTGCCAGCCTCATCTCGCGTGACAACTGTCACCCAGGCTCTACTCGACGTTCGATGCGCCATTTCAAAAGATTGCTCGATAGATGTCTTCCGACTCGATAAGTTCAGAAGCTCGCTCCTCACGCCAATGTAACAACGGTCGATGGTTGCCAAAGTTCGCGTAGGGTTGAGAGAGCAAACAAACCTCGGAATGTTACACAAAGAAAAGCTTTATGCCCACACCCCAGAAACCAAAGCTCTTTAATCTTCCTCCTTCCCTTTGTTCCATCACGTTTCGACCTTCCTCGTTCTCGGTTGCCCGAACGAGTGCAGCCGCTCCAATCAAGTACAGCCAACGCGTCGCGCGAGACATCGATCATGGACACAGGTCTACGTCCACGCGAGAGCCACATGTGAATAAAGACAACTACGACTCGGGAAGGCGGGCTAATAGGTACACAGGGCGAGGGGCAAGACGCCAAACTTTTCGCGACGTCGCTCGACCGGGTGGTGTAGCAGGGTCCTCATCTTCCTCGTCTGCCTCTTGGGCGTGGGCATTGCAGTCCTTGCACAGCCCATGTGGTCAATAGGCAAGCCGTCTTGTACTTGCCCTCTCATCGCATGCCCCGACGTATCTCTCCCTAGCGATCAATGCACCGATCCTGCAAGTTTCACAATGCTTAATATACGGAGCAGCCACATCCCGCCTCTGACAGTCAAGCTGTCCATTGAGCTACGCTCAGATGGCCCAGCGTTTGGTGCCAAAGCTATCGACAGACGTCTTGGCCTTATCAACTCCCGCGCTCTATCACTACACGACCTGACTCTTCACCACACCGCACAGTTTCATCGCCTCCAGACTACGATCATTACTGCTATGTCTGATACTTGCTCCAGGATTTGCCGCCCATACCGCTCATGGAAGTTCTGGAGGAACCACAACATGTCCACATTCCTATCGCCTGACGTGCATAACGCCCACCAAGACCAGGCCGTGTTGGATCATCTCCACAAGACCGTCCGCGACGCTGCACGGATCTACCACGACAATGTCGCCTCCAGTCTCGTTTCCGGTATTCACCCTCTCAACGATTCACTCGGCAATGCAATCTTCGAAGCGTACGAAGCTTGGACAAAACCACTGCCGTCGGAAGTGTGCCACGAGATCTTTGCAGCATCCTGTGATGCTACCGACTACTACAAAGAGAAACCTCAGATAACTTGGATGAATCAGTTATTTGTAGCTCTGAAGGGAGAGCAAGACGCACTGAGCATGTCGAAGCACGATCTAGATCATTACTTGGCGGCGGTCGACCCCCAGGCATGGACCACCACACTTCCGGCGCACACCAAAGATATGGATGTAGAGGACAAGAAGCAATGGATATGGAAGGTCGGCAAGCAAGTTCGTCAAGGCGTCAGTATCGGGTCTGCAGACATGAAGCCCCACTTCGATGATGCCAACGACGTTCTGCCATGAGGCCTGATTCACGTGCCCATGCGACCGACTTGAGACCCTTTCAAGTCTCCGGGACTAGTGTGTCCTCGGTTCTTGCTTGTCGAAGGATGGGTGTATGGCGGCATGTCACTTGCCATGGGCAAGGTCTGTCTCATGTGGTCGAACATTACTGTACGTATCTCGAACATGACACACAATGGAAGCTGTTGTCCGATATATCTCCTCATTGTCGGACACATGTCGCAGTCATCCAGCACCACGGTCTTCGACTCATTCATGCTTCCAGCATGTGACAAGGCCTTCGACGTGACGTGAACAAAGAACAGCAAACCCGCTAGAGCAAGCGCAAGCTCGACATATAACAAGGCTCAATGTCTTCCCACTTACACTTCGACGTTTCCCGATATTGGATAATCCCCACGTCTCCGAACATGGAAGCGTACATGGCATGGACGTCCGACAACTTACGACGAGAGATCAACAGGCGCAACCTGAAGCCTACACCAATGCCCTCCAAGAAGGTCGATCGAGCGATTCTTTTGGTCGCTCACGATGAGCGAAAAGCCCAGGTAGGGGCGAGTGGGTTGATTGGAGCGGAAGAGGAGGAGGAGGATCCGGACGATGATGACGATGAATTCCTCGATGCGAATGAAGATGCCGGGGCGGATCATAAGAGCGAGGACGAAGTGGGGGCGGCAACACACCCAGCTAAAGGCGGAGAAGTAAGCAATGACGACACGGAACAAGACGCTGCTCCAACGTCATCCCCGCACCCAAGTCATGGCAAAAAGCGCAAGCAACCACAAACAGGACCGGATGACCGCGGCACCAAACGTCAGCACTACAACAACCCGCCTACAGGTGCAATCCCCAAACCACCATCACCGTCTCCACCAAAATCACCACCGCCATCACCGTCTCCACCAGAATCATCACCGCCATCACCGTCACGCCAGCAGCAAGACGCCGTCATCGCGCTAGACCAAGAGAACATGACCGCTCGCGCCGAACGTGCCTTGCGCCCTGTTGACCGCTCTCTCACCAACCTCAACGCCTGGATAAACGATGTCGTCGGCTTAGGCAACCCTGCACCCGAGGACCCGACCCCAGGCCAGATTTTCAGTGAGGTGGCTGAAGATGTTGGACGCTGGGTGGGGCGGTGGAGTCGTGGGATGGATGCGAGAATAAGGCTGGTGGGTAGAGAAGTCGAGGACATGGCAGATCACCAGCATGAGGAATTTGAAGGAGATGGAGGGGCCGTCAATGGCAATGAGCTGTGAGGCTAAGCGAAAGACGGATGGATCTTCTTTAAGATATGGTATTTGTGAGTACCATGTTGCTATTGTTCATCGCTAATGTTCCGCGAGGGTACGTTGGCATACACGGTTGATGTCAAGTCCAGTTTTCGATCTTTCATATCATCTACTGCGCTGTTTAATACACGTGCCCGAAGTCGCATCCATCCTTTCAGCAATACATCGTTTCCCAAGCTATCCCAAACGCCCAGTTTCATGCCCTACCAGCAACCGCCCCTTCTCACTCGGACCCTCCCCATTCCCGTCTCTCCTACCACCATGGCAACATCAAGTGAAGATGAACTCGTCTTCAATGTTCTTCTCTTTGCCTTTCTCCCTCTTTCTCTGCTCACGCTTCTGATGCTTCGGCTCATCCGCCCCAGCCACGATCTCCAGCGCCTTCTCCAATACCTCAACTCGGAGCAGCAACTCACGTATATCCTCGGCATTCTGAAGACCGGATCGACGTACACTCTCGATTTGCGCAGCAAGAGTAGGATCATTAGGAAGAAGAGGAACTGGTGCCCCATCGAGAACCCGGAGTTCGGGCTGAATGTAGCGCGTACGGGGTGACTTTCGGGTAGGGATGGCGGCGGTACGTGGACGGGTTGGGGGCGAGATGCCGGCTCTTTCGGTTGATGGGATCGGATGCGACGACGATTCTCCCACCTCCGGGCTTCGTACTCGGCTCACAGTCTTGGTGGCTGGCTTCTTGGCGGCGGACTGCTTCCCGGGTTTTGTCGTAGGAGTTGGAGGTCGGGAGGACGAAGCAACTACTGGGATATCCTTTTTGCCATCATTCGAAGGCGGAGGGAAAGATTTCTGGAGTGCGTTGCTGATGGCTTGGTTTGTCGGCTTCTTGCCTTTGGTCGAGAAAGATGCGGTGGTGATGGGCTTCGCAAGCTTGGAAGGCGTGGTGGCAAGGGCTTCTCGGATCGCGTTCGGTTTAGCGGCATTAGCAGTATCATCGACAACAGCTTTGAGCCGGTCGGAGACGGTGCCATATCGGGATGGGGTTGGACTTGGGAACTGGACTCGTTTGCGCGATGAAGGCTGAGGTGGGGCCTCGTCTTCATCTCCAGAGTCAAGTACTACGGGGCGCTTGGATGCAAGGCGTCTAGTACTGACAGATTCATTGGGCTTGACGGTATCTTTCTCTGGCTTTGGTGTATAACGCTTCATGATTCCCTTCGGTTTTGGCGTATCCACGGCTTCGAAGGCTAGTTCATCGTCGCTGCTGGTGTCGCTGATGATGGAGGTACTTGTCGATGGTTTGCGTCTCCTTTGCTCGGTTGTCGCCTTGTTCTTATTGCCGGGAGAAGACGGCATGAAGCTGGATGAGCTTGATGCTGCGACGGGCTTCTTGGAACCTGATGGTGTTGGCTTTTTGGTCGGGGTCTTGTAGTCGTTCTTTTGGTCGACATGCTTTGCGCAACGGTTTGGGGTTGTGTCCATCGCCTTTGACGAGCCGATATCTTCCATGCCAGCAACCCGCGTTGCATGGTTACCGCATGGTGTTCCGTTCTTGCAAGTTCCACGGCAATGGTGGGTAGCCATGAGGGTCGCTCAGAGGAGGTGAACGTTGCAGTTCACTGGAGAGACGTCGAAACTTAGCTGGGCTGGAGCAGGCCTGTTTATATAGCATTTGGTAAGCAGTACAGAATGCGAACATATGCATGCGACGTCGCTCTTCAGGTGTGTGCACGAAGGGGTCACGAGGAGATAGATACGACAGGACTGTGTGCAACACCGACTTCTCATGGATACGCCTCACGTCATGCTCGCACTCATGCATCTTGGTCTGGACTTATTAAGGTGCAATGATGCAATGAAGTCTGTGCTAGGTCTACGGAAATTATCCGCAATGCATGAGCTACTCACGTGATATCAAGAACTTTTGGGGGCTGAATCGCATTTCGTCGTATGGCGAAAGGAATACTTGACGTTCTATACACTACTCGTAGCTATGATAAGGACTTGCTACAGCTATCGCTCAATCTATCACGTGTCGACAGTGCTCTCAAGGCTCAGCTCCCCCATCAAATTGTCGCTGTTCCACTCCCTCCCCGCTTGCAAATTCTCTATCGCTCTCTTCAACAATACCAGATCACTTCGCCCATGAAGCATGGATAGATACTTCCGCATACCCTCGAGACCTTTGAAAAGACGTGCAGAGTCTTCTTCGCGAACCTTCTCTGCTGCTGTCCGCACAGCGTTCTGAGCTTGTAACGTGAAGAGATCAGTAGCAAGGTCCAGCGCGGAAGAAAGATCTCGTCCAAGGGCGCCTGCACGAAGCACAGATGGAAGGGTATGCCCCAAAGCATCAACAGGGAGTGTGATCGACGTATCTTCCGCAGGGCAAATCGGGATATGATTCGAGAGGAGCCGGATATACTCGGCTTGCGACTCGACGAGTTCAAGATTCCAGTCGATGGCTATATCGATCCGCTTGGGCATGAACTGCAATCGCGTTTCTCTCAAGGCATTGCGGCGTCTTTCACAGTGAAGCTCATGTGCCAGGTGCCGTCGATCAGATTCGGCAAAGAGAGCGTCAGCTTCCGCCATTACCCCGGAGATTGCTTCCCACGGGCGAAGCCATGAGCCATCATCTTCACAGAACTGCTCCGCTGGCGCTACATCAACTAAGGAGATCCTGTTGCGACCACGTTGGACTGCTGCGTTGACCAGATACTTCGTGTTGACGGCCCGTTCGTGGGCTAGCTGGGCTTCTAGGTCTCCGATGATGTGAAGTTCAATCTGGCTCTCAACACGACGAGCATCTTCGATCTGGACGAGTAGAAAATCGATCTCTTCGACGCCACTTTGACTAGATTCGGGGCGGGTGAAAGCTACTTGCTGCCCGAGAAGCTCAAACCGCTCGAGCACAGCCATATGATGTTGTTCCATCATTCGGACAACTTCTGGTGAGAGAGACTGAGCACCAGTGGACTGAGCAAGCTGATCTTTTGGCGCATCCAAAGTCATAACATTCGATTCCTCAACAAGGCTGTCGCCCCTGGCCAACTGACTGTGAATCTGCTCCACCATTGTTAAGATCTTGTCGGATACCCCACTTCGAGCCAGTCCTGACGCTTGCTCAGTGACATCTTCCGAGGTTGGTATCCAATGAGTTTCGAGTCTCTCCACTGTCTTTTCGATCATGCTAAGGGTCTGGTAGAGCGTGCGTTCATCTGCCGGCGTATCTCCAAGAGCCGAACTAGGGTTTAGCTGGCTGTAGATACCCTGTATCATGGTCATCATGGTACTTGGATTGACCCCCAGACTAGATACGGTGGGCAGAGATCTGTCGTGGATGTCTTGCAGCTGTTGTGTCGAGGTTTCCTGGCCTTTCTGGACCAGCCTCAGTTCTTGTGCCAACATGGATGAATTGGACAAAATGCCAGCCTGAATTTGACTTCCTTGATGCTGAATGGTTGCCTCGACTCTTTGCAACTCACCCCGTAATCCTTTTAGGCGAGATCTTACATCCATGAACTGAACGTTCTGACGCTTCTGGTTCTTTCGTAACCGCGACTGGATATGGCCACTTGCCGCCTTGATCGAAGTGTTGAGTTTGTTGGTCTGCGCCATGCGTATATCCGATTGGTTCTGGGACTGGGTCGAGATGTGTGCATACAGACTGGTGAGATTCTGGTTAGCTGGCACGACCTGATCACGTAACCATGCACAGTTCTCTCGAACCTGCGTGCTGATCTGGGATTGGAA